TAGGGGAAAAGATTTAGAATATCTATTATAAGTTAGACTGTGGAGTACAAGTAGAAAAATAATAGTTACTTAAAAATAATACAATCATATTTCTTGTAAAACTTCAATAATTTCTTATTTACTGCATTCAGTCTCATGGCCATTCATAAAGTGCTTTCTAACAACTGGAATACATCCAGTGCTATATTCCAATACAGTGGCTCAAATCAATGACTCACTTAAACAATCAGGCACATTTTTATGTAGCATCTTCCCTTCATATATTCTCTTCCTGGAAAGAACATCACCACTAGCATAATTCCTGTATTTCTTTCAAAGCTTCACTAAGGGTTTGCATAGCATCCAACATTCAGTAGTCCTACTTCCTCTGAATCCCTGCTGCAAAGGGGCAAAGAGTTCTTTTGGCACACAGCATGGATCTTTTTATATACATGCTTCTCAATTTGACTATAAGTCCCTTAAAACTAAATATAAAATCTTATAATTTCATAAGCCCAGCCCGTATTTCATTATACTATTTTATATCTTGCTTTTTAAATAGTTAGCATTATAATACATCATAATCATATTTTCTATGTGATTAGAAAGCCTCAGAAAAACTCTTAACTATCAAGCCAGGCCATGCCCTTACTGCTTTATTTCTAATATAGCAATGCCATAGCTAATATGGATACTCATAGGTTCATTCATTCCTTTACTGAGCAATACCTATGGGTCCAGTCAGAAGTATAAAAAATATATTAAAACATGGATTTCCTGCCATAGGAAATTACAATTGTTTACTTTCTGAAAGCAATAATAGTTGTGATTTAAATAAGGATGTTATGTTTGACATTTAAATCAGGATGAAATGAAATTATATGTATGAAGTGAAAATTGATTTCTCGGTAATAAAACTGAATAAAGAAGTTCTGGATGCATACAGGTCAGTTAATTATTTTTGAGTAACATACAAGGTGATGACTAAAGAAACTGCGTCAAGGGGAAGATAACGCTGCCTCTTCTGTACATCTATAGGGTGTCCCCAAAAATTGTATACACACTTTACCAACTGATAACTTACTTAATTTTCACTCCTTTTCAGGTTTAACTGATTTGAAATAATGGGTAAAGCCAGACTATGCTTTGAACAAAGAAAACTTATACTAAAGTGCCACTAGAATTTTTCCTATGGGGATACAGAAAAGATAAAGTTCACAGTACAGAACAGCCACACACTGAGAGCACACAAACACTGAAGGAAATGGTTCTTGAGGTTTGCAATTCCACTGCTTCACGTTATCAGCAGGGCCTGGACCAGAACAGTCATCAGTTTGAAAACAGGCATTAACAAAAAGTATTATTCATTTCTGTAGATTTGTGTAAATTTTGAAAATGAACTTTATGTTAATAAACACTGACTTTATAATTATTCAAAGTGCATATACAATTCTGGGGGACACCCTGTGTTTGTCTCCATTTCTGGGGATATGAAGCAGTGGCTTGGGGATGAGCAACCATATGCCAATTGTCACTGATACCCCATTCAAAGACCATCACCCAACCTACTCTAGAAAACAGCCTTTTTAAATAGGCCCAGTAAGATCTTTATTTACAAAATAACTTCATTATACCTCAGCCATAATTATATCTAAGGGGCTTTAAAATTTCTCTAATAGTGACTTCACATTTTTCCTATTTTCCTAATTATATTTGATATTTGAGATGTTCTGCATTGTGCTGTTTTCTTTATGATACACAATTCCCACCTGCATTCCTTAAACTTGTGGACTTTGAAATCTAAACCAGAAAGCAACACTGACATATGTGTCACTTTCATAAAACTATAGGCAGACCTTAGAGATACTGCGGGGTCAGTTACAACCAAGGCAATAAAGCAAATATCACATAAATTTTTTAATATCCCAGTGCATATAAAAGTTATGTTTACACTGTACTGTAGTCTAGTAAGTGTGCAATAGCATTTATGTCTTAAAATGTACATACCTTAATTAAAAAATATTTTTTACTGCTAAAAATGCTAACATTTACCTCAGCCTTCAGAGAGTCATAATCTTTTTGTGGGTGGAGGGTCTTACCTTCAATTTGTAAGAAACACAATAACCACAAAGCTCAATAAAGTGAAGTGCAACAAAACCAGGTATAGTAAGTCCTCACTTAACAACATCAATATGTTCTTGGAAATGCGGGTAAAAGCGAAGTATAACGAAATCAATTTTACCACAGACTGATTTAAATGTGTTAAGTTCCCACCACATCTCATCAACACTGTAACAAAACAAGGTTGAACAAAACAATGTTATACAAGGACCTGCTGTATGCCTGTAATTATTCAGTGTTATTCAATTAGTTGTATCGCCAAAATTAAGATGGCCCAAGTAGAATTGGAGTTTTGTAAAAGGGAAGTTATTCTTGGAAATTTCACCTTACATCCTATGAATATGCATTTTTGCATATTCCCACTAGATATATGTGTGATTTCTTTACAAGTTCCACTCAGTCTCTTCCTTTCTGCTACACTGAATTGCCTAATTTACCCTTACAGCCACCATGGAGTTGCTGAGGTTAACTTTATAAGCTTTTATTACATTTATAATCATCTTCTCCCACAAGCCAGCTTCAGTTATGTAATTCAGACAATACTTTATCAGCTCACAGAGTATTATATAACTATATCAACATTTATCACATAGTCATAATTGTGTGATTTCTTGGCTATCACTCCACTTCCACTGCAAATCTCTGGAGAAAGACTCAGTCCTGTTCACCTTTGTTTCCTACCACCTAACAAAGGAATTACCACAGGTTAAATGCTTGGGAAAGCATGGAACTAAATGAGAAGAATCAGCAGGTCAGCATTTCTAAGAACAAGGAAGATGGGTGTTTCTGGCACCTGAAGCCTGGAATCTATGATTCTGAGCAACCTGCCTGCGTTTTCACTCCCACTGTCAACCTATCTCTGAGGAATCATTACTATCAAGTCCATGAGGAAGCTTAAAAATGCAATACAGGTTTTGGAAAAAAGATTAGTTCTGTTCTGTTTCCCAATACGAAAACTGGTAATGCTTATAGGGTTTATAAAGGGTCTGATTTTATTAATCTCTTTGTCCATTATATAGAAAAGCTGCAGGAGATTTTCTTCACTGTATCAAATCAACAGGTATTAAGAATGACTTGGCTGAGAAATAATTTCTAGTTCTGCAAAGGAATACTTGTCTACTTAAACGTGTTCTGTTTTATCAAAACTAAACACCATGGTAACCAGTAACTGTGGTGGATTCTGTGAAATGTCTTCCACTGAATTAATCTAGAGTAGGTTTATTTTTCTATCTTATTCACCTTTTGCTTTAGGCTTTTCACTGATTTATTTTACCCTAATATCCTTTCACACTGATGTAAGAAATATGTGATGACAGAAAATAACATGTTTGTCATTGAAATACTGTTGTATCAAAGCTGGGACATAAACAATTAAGTCTCCTTTGTAATAAGTTATATAATATTCCACAGGCAGTTAAAGACACATTAATATTAGGAAGCTATAATCCATACATTTTATCTTATTTTTCTACTTATGATATCAGTGAAAAAAAGATTTAATTTTTGAGATCATTTAAAATTATCTATTTTAAAGGAAATAAAAGCAAGAGTCATTTGAAAACAACAAAGTTTGTTTAAATGAAAGTTCTTTCAAGAAATGTCATTGCTTCTCCAGCACAAAAAGTTCAAAAAGAGGAGGAAAGAAGTGAAGGCAGCTACAACTCCATAAATATACTCCCATTCCCTAAATTCAAGGTGAATTTCACATCTTGTTTCACAGCACTAACATTCAAGCCTCATACTCCAGCAGAATTCTGGGTAAATCAAAGCATCCAGACATTCCATAAAGCAGGTGCTTTGCCAAAGAGATGAAATCTGAATTTGCCACAGTTAGGAAGATACACCAGGAAAGTAGTAGGACTGTTCAAATACCAATCTAAAAATCTAAATAGACAGTTTAATCACATGCTTGTATTGATATTATATCTGTTTTTTACAACACTTGATGCTTATAATTCCTTGGCCAGAGTTTAAACCATGTTCTAAGTTCTCAATCACTGGTCTAAGGAAACATTTCAGCTTCCCCTTCTCCCAGTGTAAAAAATGTTAAAATAATAAATAAATAAAATGATAATAAGAGAAAGAAGTTCAAAATATGAAGCCATATGCTTCATAAATATATTTCAACATGCAATCCTTAGATGGGTAAATAAAAGGGAAGAATGTGATGGACTTCACCTGTCCATGAGAGAAGCCCATCAACCACTAGCTGCAAAATCATTTCATAATATGTATTTGAATATATTAAAACCAAAAATAATTCTTTCACAGAAAAAGAGCAGAATGAAAGAAACTCATACAACATTTTAAGTTTTTAAGGCCATATGGTCTATAAAATAATGTAGTCATATTAACAATATAAAATTTCGACATTTGAATGTGCATTGAAGGGAAGGAGCCACAAGCCACAGGGTCGGAAGTAAATCTACAGCTTGTCTTACTTTTTAAAATGCCAAACGCAATCATAAAAATCTTATTAAAATTAAGGAACTAAATAATCATAAAAATACTTTTAAATGAATCATCCCCTAAATTATCCAGATAATTTTTATTTGATTTTTTTTCCCCCCCCAGAAAATTGCTTTTAGCTTTTTCCCTTAACTTTGAAAATTCATCTGGAGTTCTGACTCTAAAGTCTATCATCAATTTATAGCAAAGTAAAATGTCTGCACAGATGTAATGCACAATAAAATTATTAGGATAATTTGAATCCTTAATTTCTTCATCAGCTTAAGAGCCTTCTGTGATTATGATGTATACATATGAATTAAGTGGCAATTGCCCCAAATGTAAGTATTTCCATTAAGCATACTCTAAATCAACCCACTCTGTATCTGAGCATAAATGAAGATAAAACACTCCACATTATGATTCAATTAAAAACCTCCAAGATACGTTACCTGCCTCCTCGGGCACTGAAAGGCACTACATGGATTCCCAGAGGCCCTCCATCGTTGGGGACGTGTACGAGCTTTACCATATCACTGTGAGACAATGATGAATGAGGGAGCATGAACATGGACTGTAAACAAACCAAACCAAAACAGAACAAAACAAAAAAACACAACAACAAAGACACACAATAAACAACAAAAGAGAACAAAACAAAAATCCCACCAAGCACACATGCATGTACATACACATTCTGGAATATAAGTATGGTGATGAAGGCAACATTAAACACTACATACCTGAACACTAGTCTGATGGCATGGAGGGAGAGCAATCATCAGAAATAACTACATTAAAAATGACAGAAAACCATTTCTCTCGGACCACACTCTTCTGTGTAATACAAGTACACATTTTGCAAGTCAAATCTCTAGACTTCCACTGAAAATTTTCCATCCCAATATCTACTTCAATGACAATGAAGATTAACTGAAAAGAGGTGTTGCAGCTACAGAGCACTTTATAATTTACAAAGAGCTCCTAAATATGTCACATCATTGACACTTCTAATAATCCAGTAAGGTCAAAGATTTTGCCCATATAGACAGGTGACAGTCGAGATGTAATCCAGCAATCCTGACTTCCCACGATTCCATAACAATTTAAAGTCACCATTTCTTAAAGCACTGCAAGTACAGGTTATGAAACTCCTTTTTCAAAGCTAATAGATTTCCACTAAAAACCAAATCATTTTCATAAAAGTATTTGCAAATGAACTTTAAAATAATGAAGCTATTTATATAAAGTAACATAAAGTTACTTCTATTATATAACTAAAGTACTTTACTATTAATGTAATAAGCCCAAGTTTAATAAAAGTTGGTATAACTTGGAGAATGTAAATTTTCTAAACCATTTAAATGAGAGTTCACTTTCTTTGTAGATTTTGTGTGTACGTGTGTGTGTGTACTGCATAGAAATCTAAGCAGTACTTATCTAACAATCAATATTTGGAAATAGTATTTTAATTAAATATCTAGTTTAAACAATCCCAACAACCATAAATAATTATCAATGGATTGACAATGGTCACAATATAGTTTTTGTATAATGGAAAATGCCAATTCTTAAGCTTCCTAAATAAAAACCTGAGGTCATCCTATAAACCATGAACGTCTTGATTATATAAGACAATGACTAAAAAAAAATAAAGACAGGAATGTCACACAAATCAAAACAAAACTGAAAATATTTACACAGATTTAATCACATACACTAACTAGGACAAAATAAAAATTTAGCCATATTAAAGTAACACTAAATGGATTATATTTTTAAAAAATATTTTCATAGAATTTTATAACATCCTATTTTAGATTCTCTTAATACCATTTATACATTTTTACACAATTGGTTTGTCCACTAAGAATAGTGTAGTTACTTCAATAATTATTGCTATTCTAAATTCTTTCTAAAAACAACAATGGCATGGCAAGTATTTCTTAAAAGTAAATACTTAGAGATTGCTGGTTCCTCTATATCCAAACATAATCTCATTCTAGTGCCTAATCTCACTGAAGAAGTTCTTAGAACCTTCCCTTAGAAGACCAAAAGAAGACAGAATTAAGAGTTCAAATGTTAACATCTAGATCCCCAACTTTTACCGAAAGTGAAAGAAAAAAATTCAGAATGACTATCCTCCCTGAGAACCCCTTCCATTTAAACATGTCAATATTTAAGATAATTGTAGAGTTGTGATAATAAGAAAGTTTTACCCTGTCCTTTTATACTTAAAATCATGTTCAAGGTCCCTAACCCATGATCTATAATTTTTCAAATACCTTGAGAGATTCTACTTTTTCAAATAAAAATATATATAATAAAATAGCTATTGCTTATATGATTTGACTAGTTTTTCAGGTAAAGTATGTTTAATTTATTTATTTAGCAAAGTTGAAGAACAAACAAATCACCATACTGACATACAAAGCAATCTGAAAACAGCTGTAGTGCTGTAAACAAGACAAACATTTTCAATCAAACACTATTTTATATTATAATTTAATAGTATTTGCCAAGGCATGAAACTCAGGACAGAGACATGTGAATTTCCATGCTACTCTTTTTACATTAGATAATTAACACAACAGATGAAAGATGCTCTTTGGAAAACACACCAATACAAGGAATGTTTTTGACTCAGCACAAACATCCCACACATGCCACACGTTTTTGGAGCACTTGCTGCTATCAGTGATGCTGCATGTATATTACAAATTTAGTTAAAACCATCCGTAACTTACTCCAGAGAAAAGTTGGGTATGTTCTCCAAACCACTGTCAGCATGTCCAACAGGTTCAACACGACTGTTGTCTTCTGTCCCATCCTCATCCTAAGACAGCACAACACAAAGAGAAGCACACTCTGTGTTAGATCTATTTCTATAACGTGAAAGAAAACTGGATAAAAGTGGAGTCTAATAGGCACTGTGGTCATGTTATAATTAGGACTTTCCTCTATGGAAGAGGAACTTTAATAATACGATGGGTATGTGTAGATGAAAAGTTGCATTTCAAAGCAATAGTCAACTTATTTAGCTCATGTCCCAGGAGATGAACAAGATACCACTGCAATAAAAAACATTAGAACTTCTACTTAATGTTAACTGTCCTATCATTTTTACTTCTCGTTTTGGGGTATATTTTAGGAAGTAATTGTATGATACAGTATATTAAAAATATATAGTATATTAATGATATGATTATTTTATAATATATCATAGTACATTAATAATATAATATACTGTAGTATATTAGTGTTATAGTATATTAATATAATATTAATACAAACATATTTATAAATAACATTAATATTAATAAATATATGTACATGACATTGAGTATGTATGTTTAAATTTTTTACTAATCTAACCAGTTGAAACGATTATAATCCTTAATGACTACCAAAATCTGCAGTCATATTTGTCAGTCCCTCAGTTCCACTAACACAGCTTGAGTATGTGGTAAATACAATCCTTGACTCAAATCCTTCATCCTATGAAATTTCACATAAAGTTACTCTGAGCCAATTGACTCATGTGGTACAAATTGGGAGTGCATAAGTATGCTAGAACTCCAAAAGGTGCCATGAAGAATAAATATGATGCTTCATAAAAATAAATGAAATGTCACCCAAGAATATGGCTCATTTTATATATAATTGTGGTCATTGTCTTTTCCTTAGGGAGTTCACTAATAGTTAAGTCGGTATCTCAGGATCATTTGAATAATGATAAACATACGTGAATTTATTAAAACTGCCTATATGAGATTCCATCACTAGAAAAAAATTTTATATTTTTAATCATGTATTTGAGAGACTCATAATAGAAATGTGTATGCTGTCAATGGAGACATCAATCAACAAAATGATAAGCAAAGGTTGTATGTTCAAGACACAATGTAAAATAATATTGCAAATTACTGAAGCAATATTAAGGCAAGGTAGAGCAGTTGGTAATATCCAATTGACATTTCCTCTGAGAATCTACCAAAATAAGAAGCTGAATACACTGAGTTTTTCTGAGTTGTAGATGGGCTCCACAGAGCCTCAGTGCTGGTTCATTGCGTAAAGCCACGCTACTTCAAGACTGATGATCCTGTGCTCTGAGAGGCTCCAATATGCACTTCTTAGTCATCTATCTCTTTTAAGTACCAGCTTACATTTCAAAGGTTAACCAGCATCTTAAACCTGCCTAAGAACCACACTTTGAATATAAACAATTCCCAAAATTATGCTTTTCCTTTGGGATTGGGAATAGGGGAACAGAGTAAAGGGACAGTTTATAAATCAGATGGAAAACAAAAAGATAATCTTACAATTTAAAGACACTTTGTTTCAGGATTTATTAATAATTTAAGCACCACTGAAATGCCACCACAATATATGAACAGTTGAAACACCTAAGTCACAGTATGAAAAGCAGCCACATAAATGAAATGCTCCAAACTACAGTGATTAACAGTTAGTGATAATTTACACATTCATTGTTCCCGCAGTGGCCATTATCAAGCCTCCAAGAGCATGTAGAATATTATTTCATGAAGCTGCATATGCTGTTCAGTTTATACTGCAACATTCACTGCCCTAAGGCTGAGGTGCACCTGCTGTAGGAAACACAACTTAGAATTTCCCAACTTCTGATGTGGAAATATTAGCTCCCATATTGCTTTATTTTTTGTTTTACACTTTTAAAAAGCAGTGACTGAAGATTGTTACTTTTAACAAGACTTATACAATGAACTCCATTATAACCATATTCCTGTAGTACCCCCTGATCTGCAGGGGATACATTCCAAGACCCTCAATGGGTGCCTGAAACCACAGAGAGTTCCAAGCCCTATATATACTGTCTTGTCCTATAAATACACACCTATGATAAAATTTAAGTAATATATTAGAAACAGTAAGAAATTAACAAAACTAAAAGTAAAGTAATGAACATAGATACTAAAATTCTCAACAAAATATTAGCAAACAGAATCCTGCAATACATTACAAAAATCATCCATTATGAACTAAGTGAGATTTATTTCGGGATGCAAGGCTAATACCAAAACAAAAGAGGGTTGTCTGCTTTCACCACTATTATTCAACATAGCACTGGAAATCCTTATGACAGGGATCAGAGAGGAAAAAATAAAAGGCATCCAAATTTGGAAGGAGGAAGTAAAGCTCATTATTCAGAGATGACGTGATACTACACAGAGAAAACCCTAGACTCCACCAAAGTACTACTAAATTTAATAAATGAATTCGACAAGGTAACAGGATACAAAATTAACACTGAAAAATCAATGACATTTTTTAAAACCAATAATGAACTCTCAGAAAGAAAAACTAAAAAAAAAATACCATTTACCATTGCAACTAAAAAATACGATACCTAAGAATCAAGTTAACCCAGGATATAAAAGGCCTATATACTTAGAAAACTACAGGAAACTGAAAAAAGAGAGGAAGATACAAACAGGTGAAGAATATATCATGTTCATGGATTAGAGCACTTAACAACATTTAAATGCCCATACTACCCAAAACAATCTACAGATTCAACGCAAGTCCTATTAAAATGCCAAAAGCATATTTCATGAAACTAGAACAAATATTCCAAAAATTCATATGGAACCAAAAAAGACCCTGAATAGCCATAGCAACCTTTAGAAAGAACAGAGTTGGACAGATCACTATAACAGATATCAAACTCTACTACAAAGCCACTGCAATCAAAACAGCTTGGTACTGGCACAAGAACAGACATATAGACAGTGGAACAGAAAAGAGAACCCAGAAATCAGCCCAAGCTATTATGGTCAATTAAGATTTGACGAGGGAGGTAAAAAAATACAATGGAATAAAGACAGTTTCTTCAATAAATGGTGCTGAAAAAACTGGAGGTCCACTGGAAAAAATGAAAATAGACCACCAACTCACACCATACACAAGATTAAACTCTAAATGGGTAAAAGGCTTAATTTAATTGTAAGTTGCGAAATCATAAAAACCCTACAAGAAAACATAGGCAATAAAGTCACAGACATCTCGTGAAGCAAAATTTTTGTTGATACATCTCCTAGGGCAAGAGAAACTAAGGAAAAAAGAAACAAATGGAACTACATCAAACTAAAAAGCTCCTACACAGCAAAAGAAATCATCCTCAAAATGCAAAGGGAACCCACTGTATGGGAGAACATATATGCCAAAGATACATCTGATAAAGGGTTAATTTCCAAAATATACAAAGAACTCATACAACTCAACAAGAGGAAGACAAACAATACAATTAAAAATGGGCAACAGACCAAAGTAGACACTTCGCCATACAGATGGCCAACAGACATATGAAAAAATGGTCAACCTTGCTAATCATCATAGAGATGCAAATTAAAACCACAATGAGGTATCACTTCACACCTGTCAGAATGGCTGCCATCAACAAACAACAAATGCTGGTGAAGATGTGGAGAAAAGGTAACCCTAGTACACTGTGGGTGGGAATGCAGACTGGTACAGCCACTGTGGAAAACAGTATGAGGTTACTCAGAAAATTTTAAATGGAACTGCCATTTGACGCAGTGATCCAACTTTTACGAATATATCCTAAGAATCCTGAAACACTAATTAGAAAGAATAAATGAATCTCTATGTTCAAAACAGCATTATTTACAATAGCTTAGATCTCTAAACAGCCCAAGTGCTCATCAATGGATGAGCGGATTAAGAAACCGTGGGACATTTACACCATGGAATACTATGCAACTGTTTAAAAAGAAAAAAAAGGATCTCTTACCCTTTGGGACAGCATGGATAGACCTGAAAATATTATCCTAAGTGAAATAAGCCAGTCAGAGAAAGACAAATATCACATGATATCACTTTTATGTGGAATCTAAGGAACAGAATAAATTGAAAAACAAGATATGACCACAAACATGGAAGCATGAAACATACTGACACATCTCAGAGGGAAGGCAGGAAGAAAGGCAGGAAGAGATTAAGGAAAGAACTTATAAGCATATATGCATAGGCCATGGACACAGACAATAAACAGGGGAAGGCCTGTGGTGGGGTGGGAGATGGGTGGAGGGGGCAAAGGGAGGAAAATGGAGGACATCTGTAATACTTTCAACAATAAAATAACTAATTAATAATAAAATAAAATAAAATATCTAGGAAAAAGAAAAAGACCTCATTTTACTAAATATCTAGAATGCACCACAAACTATATACACTGTTTCATATAATCATCACAAAAAGCTAGTAATTCTTATTATTAGGAAATTAGGCCTAAAAATTTTTTCAGATTTCTCTTTAGTGTTATAGTTGGGATTTTGAAAACTGCATGAAGGCCTGTGGTTCTTCAATTTCACCATGTTTGTTTCACTCAATTTTACTCACAGAAGAGTGTGCCAGACTATTGAGTAATAAAGGTGACCCTAGCCAACTAACTAGGCCAAAATCTGTGAGAGAAGAAAACATAATATTTATGTTGTAAAAACATATTTAGTTCTGAACATATAATAAATATACTTTCATGTAGAGTAAAAATCACTACTGAAATACAGTGGTACCTCGGTTTTCGAATGTAATCCGTTCTGGAAGACCATTCAAGTTCTGAAATGTTCGAAAATGGAGGGATCAACAGCCTCAGGATCTTGAACTCAGCAGAAGCCGTGTGGCATGTTCAACTTCGGAGGTGTGTTTAAAAACCAAAGCACTTACTTCGGCTTTACGGTGTTCATAAACCAAATGTTCGTCAACAGAGATGTTCGAAAACTGAAGTACCACTGTATTTGTTTTGCAAATTTTGATTTTAGAAAAAACATCAGGAAA